AGCCACTGGTGTGCCCGTAAAGAAATCCCAGACCTGCTTGTGGATCATGGAAGGGTTTGGGTTGGAAGAGACCTTATAGATCATCTCGTTCCAACCCCTGTGCCATGGGCAAGGACACCTTCCACTACACCAGGTTGCTCAAAGCCCCACTGGGCCTTGAACACCAGGTAATGGACATCCACAGCTTCTCTGGGCAACCTGTTCCAGTGTCTCACCACCCTCATAGTAAAGAATTTCTCTCTTATAGCTAATCTAGATCTACCCTCTTTCGGTTTAAAACCATTACCCCTTGTCCTATCACTACAGATACTTGTAAAAAGTCCCTCCCCTGCTGTCTTGTAGGCCCCCTTCAGGTACTGGAAGGCTGCTATAAGGTCTCCCTGGAGCTTTCTTTTCTGAACAGCTCCCAGCTCTCTCAGCCTTTTCTCACAGGAGAGGTGTTCCAGCCCTCTGATAATTTTTATGGCGCTCCTCTGGACCCGCTTCAACAGGTCCATGTCCTCCTTGTGCTGAGGACTCCAGAGCTGGATGCAGGACTCCAGGTGGGGTCTCACCAGAGAGGGGCAGAATCACCTCTCTCGACCTGCTGGCCACACTTCTTCTGATACAGCCCAGGGTATGGTTGCCTTTCTTGGCTGCGAACGGACACTGCCGCGTCATATTGAGCTTCTGGTAAACCAACACCCCCAAGTCCTTCTCTTCAGGGCTGCTCTCAATCCGTTCACTGCCCAGCCTGTATTTGTGCTTGTGATTGCCCCGACCCAGGTGCAGGACCTTGCATTTGGCCTTGCTGAACTTCATGAGGTTCTCACAAGCCTGCCTCTCAAGCCTGTCCAGGTCCCTCTGGATGGCATCCCTTCCCTCCAGCATTTTGACCCCATTACACAGCTTGGTGTTGCTGGCAAACTGGCTGAGGGTGCACTCAATCCCACTGTCCATGTCACTGAAAAAGACGTTAAATAGCATTGGTCCCAATACCGACCCCTGAGGAATACCACTTGTCACTGGTCTCCACTTGGACATCGAGCTATACCCAGAACTCGTCCTGAAACTGGCACCTTTTAACCATGCCAAACTATGTTGTTTGTATACTCATATTGACAGAAGTTCATAATTCACTGAAAGTGCAGTTAAACTGACACTTAACAGAATCAGCAAAGACAATTATTTGAAAGCATCTTTGTTGCTGGACAGCTGCATTTAGTGTGTCAAGTCTTTTATGCAGCAGCTTATTTTAATCAAACAAAAGAAAATGTAATTTATAATTCAGAGGTAAATTGTACTTCCAACAGGGTGTATTTTAACTGATCTAGAAATATTGACATCCTGATTATTTTATTTTAAATAGATGACGTCAGTGCCTGGAGGGAATAGTCTCTAAATTAATCTGCTTGGACCTAGGAGTAGCAGTTACATGCCTGGCGTGCTTAGCTGTTCACACTTTTTCTCTTTAGCAATAGGTATCTTTTGTTGGCTCAGCTAAAATAGAAAATCTTGAACTGCTATTTTTTTTCCTCATAAAATACTGTTGATGGAGAAGCTAAATACTATGTTTGTAACAAATACATTTACCTGATGGGCCTCATTCAGCTTTACATTTCCCCTAGGCAAGCTAGATCAAAAAAAGTGAATGGGAAAGAGTAAGTGCACAAGACCCTTTACATAGAGAAATAAAATCATGTATTGAAATGTGTTAAATTTTATAATTCTTCTTTTTTTTTTTCTTTTTGCATCCTCAGATTGTTTTACAGACTTGTAAAATGCAATTTTTTAGAAGTCTGATTAAGGATCTGTGCTAGAAACACTGTATAAATAATATAGGCCCATGTGCTGGTTCGCAAATGTACGACAACAGTTAAAAAGACGGTCGGTGTCACTATTATGGATATGTTTTGAAGAGTTTTGACTTGATCATTATATTTAATTGTTGAGAGAGATTTGCATATGGAGATTATACAGAAATCAAGGAAACTAGCCTAAAATGTCGTGTTTGGAGTTCTCTTGGCTTTTGTGCATTGTGCAGCAGGCTGACCGTCACTTCTTGGCACAACAGTTGCACGTGCAGTAAGGAGAAGGGTCTGTTTCAGGGGAGACTCCTCTGCCTGTGTCAAGGCTTCTGACTCTCAGCTGCCGTGTCTCAGAGCGGCGTGGGTGTGGAGCGCGGGTGCTGGCTCCTCAAGCTCGCTCTCACAGCAGCTCTCAGGCAGAGACGGGGGGGGTTTGGGTGTGGGGGAGTGTGTGGTTTTTTATTTGGTTGGGTTTTTTTGTTTTGTTTTGGTTTGTTGGTGTGTTGTGTGTTTGTGGTGGGGTTTTTTTGTGGTTTTTTTTTCTTACTCTAGCAGTTTATTAGGTGCAGTCTCCAGACTCCTTTTTCTTTCTTCTTCTGTGCATATCATGGTGTAATGAAGTGGATAGTGAGTTCCTGTTCCTCCTAGTTGCTCAGCTGACTTAAAACTTGTCCGTTTCTCAGGCAAGAACTTATCATGAGGTTTCTGTCTGCTATCTAGATTTACTGGTCTCTTGTCTGATTAGGGTCACTGAAGACTCTCTGCGTAGTTGCAAGTAAGCTTTTACTTGCAGTTCCTCACAGTTTATTTAATACATTTAAATTAATACATATAATAATAATTAATATACTTAATAAAATAGCACAATACATTTAAACAGGTAGAGGTCGAGGTAGAGAGAAACTTGAACTGTTACTGTTTTTCTCGGAGATATATTGTCAGAAGTGCATTCACATCTTTCTTTGTCTTGCCTTCAAAGTCTAAGCTTGTCTTTGGATGTGCTGATTGAGAGAAAGGACTGTTTCTTGCCTCCATTTTTACCATGTGAGATGTGTGCAGTGAGAGGAGGAGTTCAGCTAGGCAGGAAAAAAAATATTTTGGCCCCAAATTTCTCCTACAGCATGACTATACATGTAAACAATTATGTCAGAGACCAGCTATGGCATGTAAATAGCCTGTCTTTCCAGAGGATGCTGTTTGGATTTAGAGGCTGAGCAAAGGTATTGTTGTGAAGGAACCTTGCTTCTGTTACGGAGTTCTGCACACAGGGGATAGGTGGGGAGAAATCCTCTCGATACCTGCAGGATAAGAGACGTCAGACCTGTCCGCATTTACATCTTAGTCCTTATTAATCCAGGATTAGTCCCATGAAAGTCAGTATCCCTTTTGTAATGGAAACCATGGCATCCATAAATATGTACAGATTTAGTATCTGGATGAAGAGTACTGGTCCTTTTCTTTCTTTCTGGAGAAAGAGAATTCTGTCTTCGTTGTGTCCCGATAGAACTGTTTCTTGAAACCTCGCTGGGATATAAGAGGCTGGTTACATAAAGACCACAGAGCTTCATTTACAGCCAGGGAGACAAGAGAAGGTTGAACTTCCAGTATAAAAGTTTCATTTTATTCTTGTTTAATTTCTGTCCATTATATTCATATATTTCTGGGTATTTTGAGACTTCACAAATTAAAAGAAATAAAGTTTGTGTTTCCTTAATGCGAAAGTACCATATTCCTAGGTGTTGGAATACCTGCTGCTGTACTGTGTGCAAGAAAACCAGCTTCTGAGAATCTGTGATGTGGTATCTGTCCTTCATTTTGCTTCCTAAATACACATACATAATCTTACAGAAACCTGAATTAGAACTAGCTCTTAGTAATGTACTTGCATGATCTGTAAGTTAGTACTATCCATTAGCTGTGATATAATCAATATAAACTGGTTGAATTTGGATAAGAATAGTGCATAGTACTCGAAATACCACTCATGTGTTTAAGATGTTAATTTTACACAAATAGAAAGTTTCCACTTTATTAAACAGTACAGTGCAGTTTAGTGAGATCAAATGTGTTAGAAGTCAGTATGGCGGATTATTTTTTCCTGAATTGCTCCATTAATTAGCAGAATGACATTTCTGCCATTATGGAGTTGTCTCAAATCTCCAGTCTTCCCCTCTTGAAGGGCACTGATGTCTCATAACTGTGTGCAATCAGCCAGCAAGCTCGGTAAAGCTGCTAGTGGTGGACGTTTTTTGGGTGGCAGCAGTAGTTGTTGCCGTTTGGAGTGTTTGTTGTGATAAAGCCAAAGGAAATGGGTTTGATCTAAAATGATATTGACACCATGAATATTCTGTTGCTTATAAAATAAGTGTCTGGTTATTGGATGTTTCAAAAAATAAGGGAGTGGAACGTTCAACTTTATTCTGATACTGAACGAAAACCATTATATTGTTGATTGGTGTCTAGGTAGATTTTAGTAGAAAAGGGTCTTTAGCACTAGAGTCTGCGATACGCAGACTTGTCCATCACTCTTGGCAAGTTGGGTAGGGATTAAGCCAGTGTCAGAACCAGTGACTCCCCTCCTGTAGAGCAAAAGTGCGTTGTCAGAGCATTGAGGTGAACCTTGTCCTACTGCTTTCTGTGCTGTGCTATACATACTCTACAGATAGGCCAAAAATACGTGCTCGAGGGCTGTGGTGCTGTTAAAACAGTAACATGCAGGAGCAATTACTTTCCTAATTCATACTCACAAGCACTCAATGCACTCTTTCCTTTGTAAGGAAGGCAGAGTGAGGGGCAGTGGATCCAAGCGAATGTGGAACATAGATTTATGTACATTTGCTGCATCTAAAAAAACCAAAATTGTTGCAAAACATTATTTTTCCCAACTCACATTACAAAATGAAACTTTAAAGTAGAAAAGCTGGGAATGAATAACAGTTTTTTGAATCATGATGGGTGATAAATCGTTATTCCTAAATTGTATAACTGATGATAAGATTAAGAAGTAATTAGAGGACAGCATACTTTTGAGGAATCAAATACTACACAGGCAGAAAGTAATGTTGTTTTGTTTTTAACATCAAGAGTTGTCCATTTTTTTTTTGTGGTTTTCTCTTGTGCTTGAGTAAATTTCTTTGAATTTTCCAGGTGCTTTTCCCACATGCGTGCAAGAAGAGTAGCCAGTTAAAAGAAGTGACTGCTGTGGAGGACAGCATGACCACCATGAAAGGAAGCTGCCTCCTCTCACTGCTGTTGGCAGGACTTGGGGTATTAGGAATACTGGAGCCAACAACAACAGAAGATACCCACTGCCACAGAGCTGAGCACCCAGTTATTGCATACAAAGGTAAGGGGTAAGCGCAAAAAACTTTTCCAGAAGTAGGCTAAGGATTGTGTAATCTCTTCAGGGAACCTCTGTTTTCAGTGTATAACGGTATGGAAAAAATAAGTGCATTCAGTGCTGTTACATAGTAAACTGCCCTGTATTCCATACAAGTACAACTAGGCTTGCAAAGTTTGTTCACAGTTTGGTGGTGAATGTGTCATTTAAAGGTGGGTGACTCATTTTCCTCTGTCATTAAAACCAACCTGTACAGTTGCATGTGGTTGTCCTTTCCAGGTGCAAGACTATAGGTCTACGCTTAATTTAATGAGATTTCTCTTGGCCCATTCCTCTAGCCCATCTAGGTCCCTCTGGAGTGCAGGCCTGCCCTCAAGCTTATCAACTGTTTCTCTGAATTTGGTGTTACATGCAAACTTTACAGACTGCACTCTGTTGACTCCCCTTTGTTGTTGATTAAGGTGTTAAACAGAACAGGTCCCAGGATCAACCCTTGAGATATTTCACGTGTTACCAGACTCATGGTGGAGTAAGGTCCATTAAACATTTACTCTCTGGGCTTGATCATCCAGCCGGCTTTTTAGCCATCTGGTTGCCCACCTGAAGAGACAGACCGTAACATTCTAACTTGCAGTGAGATAGTGTTGAAAGCCTTGAGATAATTGACATCCCCTGCTTTCCCCTCATCCTTAAAACTAAAACATAAAAGCAGAAGGCAATTGATTTGGTCAGGCATGATTTACCCGTGGCAAATCCATGCTGACTCTTCTCAGTCACCACCTTCTCCTCCATATGTCCAGAAAAGTGCATTCTGAGAGGACTAACTCCATAACTTTCCCAGGAACTTAAGTGAGATTGACTGGCTCGTAGTTCCCACATTTGTTTTCCTGTGGTTACTGAGGACCTTGCTTGATCTCTGTGACTTCTCAGAGATGAAGAGTAGCCTGTTATCTCGGTGTCTGGATACAGGTTGTCTGATCCCATGGATTTATATATGTTGACATCTTGCAAATCATCCCTGACTCAGGCCGCATCTACTGCTGGTAGTTCTTGAACCCCTTCACTAAACACCAGATGCTTTTGAGACCTTGTTGGTGAAGACTGAAACAAAGGAGGTATTGAGTCCCTCAGCATCATCTGTGTCTGCTGGCACTAGATCACCTGCCCAGTTCAGCAACAGGCTTATATTTTCCCTGTTTGACCTTTCATTACTATTGTAGCAGTAGAAGCTGCATTTGTTGCCCTTGATATTCCATGCAAGTCTTAAGTCCCATTGAACTTTAACTTGACACAAGCCTTACATGCCCATGTGGTGTTTCTAAATTCCTCTTTGGTCACCTTGTCCCTCTTTACACCTCATACATACAGCCTTTTTTGCACTGGAGCTCCACCACGAGTTCCTTGCTTCTCCAAGCCAGCCTCTTCAAACATGTGATTGCTGTCTTGAGTATTGGGATGGACTGCTGGGAACAGTTGGACCAAAGTGAAGAAAGTTTGTAGGACGTTGCCTGGAAAATCCTGAGGCATTTAATAACTTATCTCATTTTTTATTTATTTGAATTGAGATTTTTCCATTAGTGTTGCAATTTAAAACAAGTTCCAAGTAGTTTGTAGCTATGAGGATGTAGAGATTAAGTTGTATTATATTACATATTGCATTCCTCCTGTTTTTCTAAGAAAGCACGTGTGTAACTTTCTTGTTCCAAAGAATTAGGATTTATTGAATTTTAATTGAAAAAAGATTTGTTTCCATTCTTTTAATAAAGTTAGAGAAAATAATGTTGTGTTTTCTACAGAAAGTATTTCTCTTCTGCCATTTTAATGGTTTAATAAGAGTAATGGTGCCAGCTGTCCCTTTCTCCGGTACATTGGAGAATGAACTAAAACGGTTACATTCTGTACCTGGGAACTGCAAACCATCAATTTGTTGTGAAGGAGGGATCTTTATCTCTTGTTTAGTGATGGACTAAAGAGTGTGATTTATTCTGATAAAATATGTGTTTTTTTTAGCATGTGTGTTGTGTGTGTAATTTAGTTAAAAATGTTATTTTTGTCGTAACATGCACACACAATTTTGTAAATTAAAGTAGCACAGTTAAAATTCTAGCACTTAACTGCTTAGTTTCACAGACTAAGAGATCATCACGTTTTTTTTTTTTGTTTGGTATATGCAATTGTAACAGCAAATAATTGAGACTCATTACCAGAGCAGTGTGCTAGAAGTTGATTTAAAATGTGTTGGGTTTTGAGTCTGATTCGGCCAACATTTAGGAGAGTAGCTTGAATTTAGCCTAATCCTACCTTCTAGACTGTTATTTTTCTCTGTTGTATTTGATTTCTAGTGATGTCCTTCCAGTTCTAAGTTACTATGCTAAGGCTTTTTGGGGACAGAGACCTCCTCTGTCGTCTTGTTTCAGTTGCATCTTTTGATGTGGCAAGAAGTAGTGTCACAGCTGGAGTCTACTGAATGAAACCAACTCCTTTTTGGTGCAAATATATGTGGGAAATACAATTATGTATAAGCATTTATTGTCAGATTGTTAATATGAGATTTAGTAAGATTTTCAATGCCAGACTCCCTCTTGAACTTTGTGGTAAAAATATAGTTAATGGATACATATCCATGACATACCTTAGCTTTTATGAACTGACATATCTTGAAGAAGTTTTCCTTCACTTGAAAATACTGTGACAAGCTGTAGCTCCCACTCACCACAATATTCTGTCGAGAATCATCAGTAAATCTTAGAAAGTACATGTAGAAACATATTTGCAATGCAGTATACAGTATGCGATAACTGATGTGGGCACACAGCGGTTAACTTGTAGTTGCAGGACTGCTAGTTAAGGGAAAACAGAAGATACGAGACCGAAGGAAAAGATGACTGAGAGGTTTGTCTTTGAACCTGTGTGTTAAGAATGGACTACTTGGGGTATCAAAGTATGAAAAAAAGAAATGTGCATGAGAAGAGCTACGCTGTGAATGAATCCTGCAGTATAAGTTGGCAGGATTGAACCAGACCTCTTCCCAATTTCTGTATTGTTCCTGCGGCATTTACTGACTTCAAGAATGCCTATAGAAATATGCCCCCTCTATCTATTGACATTGTTAGTGCTGTTAGACCAACTCAGAGTGCAGAAATCAATTCTTAACAGCTATGAAATCTTCAATTTTAATGCTGCATTGATACTTTATTCTGTAAAGTCATCTTACAATACTATTAGACCCACCAGAGCTAAATGCTGCGTGGGATGCTGAACATCAACCAAAGCTGAGTGATATTGAGTGGTAGGTACTTTAAAGCTTGTAAACTCAGTACTAACTTTACAGAGATATCAGCTCTTTTGTTTTATTTATATCTGACTAAAGCCTTTTTTTGTAGTTTCTGGTATGCCAAAATAGCAATGTACTTATTTGGTTTGTCTTCCTTTGAGAGGCACGGTAGATGGAGTGTAAACTATTAAATAAAACTAATGGAGTGAGAGTCTGGTGTAGCGTATGGATGAACAGCTGCAAAAAACTAATAAAAAGAAAAAGTAGTCCCCAGGGGTTGTCATGGTGAAATATGGAAAGGGAGCTTATCTCCTGAAAGAGCTTACTTTCTTTCCCACTGCCCATCAAAAATTGCTCACTTAGGTGATGATCCTGTCAAGCTACCTTTTGTAGAGAGGCATCTATGGTTTCTATCACTGATTTTCCCAGCTAAATAGTTTTAACTGAAAGACTGTGTTATATCTCCTGATATCAAATAGCAAGAATTTCATCCGCCAGTTGAGAATCTTTACTCAAGTACTGCCAATGGAAGAGGAAAAAAGTTGCAGAAGCAGGGGAGATGCATGCACTTTGAAAGGGTTTTGACATGATCTAAAGGTCTCTTTTATGTCTCTCATACACAGTAGTAATAATCATGTTACAATTTGTTTATCTGCATAATTAATGTTAGGAACACGTAAAGCACCTTTTCTCTTTCCCAGAAACTGTAATAAATAAGGGAAGTCTACTGAAAATGTTTCAGCTCTAAAATTTGTTGTCATAGGTCTTCCCTAGCCTAGAATAAGGCACTCTGTGTCTTGCTTGAAAGCTGGAAATCTCCTTTTCTCATTATTTAGAGTTGGTAGGCACTGTCACATAGATCAGATTTATATAAAAGCAGACCTCTAAGTATGGGATGGTTTGACACGTTCAGCACGGTAGTGTGCATTTCAGTGTTTTATGTGGTGGGACTAACTGTGATGATGCATAGTCTCTCTTTTAAGTTCCTTTCTCTCCAAGGAGGAGTCTGCCTCCAGGTGTACAAAGGTGTGCTAATGTGGTGAAATTCAGGCTTAAGTTAGAAAAAAAATCTGCATATGTTACGTGCATCTACTGAGGATTCATCAGCTGTGTTAGCATAAGTCTAATAGAGGCATTAGAGTCAAGAGGTTATAAATTGTGTGCAACTTATAGAACTGGATGCGAGGAAACAAGGTGCAGATGACAGAATGGACACACAGAGACTCATAGCATGAGATTATTGGTATTTGCATACCTTTCCATACATTTATTTGTATAGAAGTGTATTTATGCTTGAAATAACTGAAGAGTTAAGGAAAAAAAAAGGGCTGAAATAAGCTGGTCGTTAAAGATAGAGCCTTACAATTTTCATTTTTATTAAATTTTGTTTTATCTGGATATGCTTTCATGTGCATGTAGATACGAAATGTTAGCTCTGTAGAGTGTATTAGGGTTTGGTGATGGTCAGCTTCTTGGAAAACACACTCTCTTAAGATAGTAAAGCGATGTGATAAACATAAATACTTAGAAAAGCCTGTGGAACCCAAATTCCCCTTGAGTAGGAGCAATGAGGGGTAAATCACAGGCAAACAGTGTTTAGAAAAATAAGATGCTCATGAGAAACAGTGACTGTTTATAAAAGTTGAACTACTCTTACGCAAACACCAAAGCAAACCAGTTGAGTAGTGTAACATTTGTCTCGATATTTCCATAGGTTTCAAAGCACTTAGCC